CTGGAATTTATGCATGAGGCCAACGCGCCACACGCGGTCATATGCTTGCTTGAGATCAAAGAAAATTGCCAAAGAATGATTTTTCTTCTGGAGTTCATTGGTCATGGACTGAACAAGACGGACCACCTGGTCCATGGGCTGCCTACCCTTACGGAAGCCACCTTGCGTCGGTGGTAGGTGCTTTTTACTCTCCAAAAACCAGTAGAGTCGTCCATTTACCATTCGCTCGGCCACTTTGCCCACACAGGACGTTAGCGATATTGGCCTGTAGCTACTTGGTAAATGGCCTGGTTTTCCTTCCTTTGGTACGGGAACCACTATGGCCTGCTTCCACACTTTCGGTAAAATACCTGTAGTCCAAGTTCGGTTTATGAGAGCCAGCAGAAGTTCTCTCCCCAGTTTACCCAAGTGGGTTAACATTTCATTGTGAACTTTGTCTGGGCCTGGTGCTTTCGCTGGCGAGCACTTTTTTAGCGCATTTTGCAATTCTTCCATTGTGAAGGGAACTGTGAATATCTCAGGGTGGGGTCCAGTGCGCTGGATACGAGCTCCCCTTTTCTTCAGACGGCGAATTTCTTTATGCTCTGGGGTCTCTTTCGACACTTTGGACTCGTTGTTCACTGCGGCAAAGTGAACATTCAGCACATTGGCTCTTTCCTTGTCGCTCGCCACGACACCTTTGTCCGATAGTAATGGTTGCGGGTTTTTGGCCTTACCCGCACCAGAGAGACTCCCAAGCAGATTCCACACCTTCTCACCGTCTAGAAGATTGAGTTTTTCACACGTGCTAACCCACTTCGACTTTTTCGCCTTTTGAACAGCTGCTCGGACTTTAGCCGTAAGGTGATTGTAGCCGGCACGAGCAGCCGGTGTTTTCTTCCTCGCGGCTTCTTTCCGAGCCTTTGCTCTTCGTTTCACGAGTTTTGCAAGCTCTTTGTTCCAAAAAGGCTTGTACGGTCGCTTCCCGGTCGTTCTCGGGATCGTCACACGGGCGACCTCTAAGAGTGCGCCATTAAACTTCTCGAAAGCAACATCTAAGTCTGAGTCGGCCACGTCGACTGCAATTAGTCCGAGCTTGGTCTCGCACTGACTTTGGAAATTATGCCAGTTGGCTCTGCGAAAGAGCCAGTGGCGTTTGTCGCACTTGGTTTTGGCCCGTCCCAAGTCAACCCTAAGCAGTATGGGCAAATGGTCGCTCCCAATGTCGTCAAGGACACTAAGGACCTGATGTCCCGCGAGATCAGTGGACACGAGCGTCAGGTCTGGCCTGGACTCCGTTCCATGGCCATAATGGAGAAGAGTGGGCGTGCTCTTCTCGTCCTGAAGCCTGATAAGGTTGGTCTCGAGACAAACCTCTTCCACGTGCTTACCAGAGCCGTTCCGCTCTGAATAACCCCACATGGGGGATTTGGCATTGAAATCTCCTGCAATTATAGTCCGTTTAAAGATCGTCTCCCCGTGGGTGGGGATCGTGATCACATTGCTTGGAGAATTGTAAATGTTCGTCACGGCGAACGTTTTCCCACGTTTGGTGACCTTTACTGACAGGGTGTCAGTATTTGCGTAACGCTTACACTCAATGATCTCCACCGTGAGATCATTGCGAACCGCTGTGGTAATGCCTTGGCATCGCCCACACTTGCAATGGTATAGCGAGTAACCAGTGATATGAAACGGCTTCCCGTGAAGCAATGTTTCTTGGAACAGTCCTACATCCACGCCGTGCTCGTGGAGTAGTTTGGTTACTTCGTGTGACTTTTGCCTGATTCCACACACATTCAACTGTAGCACAACTAGGGAATGTTTGAGGTGTCCCGTGCCACCTATTCGTTCTCGACGCGCCTGTCAAGCGTCACACGTGCGAGAGGGGACGCCCTCCCCAAGGGGACATCCGCGGGGAGAGGATGCAGTCCACGCACCGCATCTGTAGCTTTACTCGGTCCCACCCAGTCTCCCGACAGTGGGTATCGAGGGCGTTTTAAGGAAGCCACGGTCGGAGGGGAAGGATCGTGTCCAAGCCCCCCCCAGTCGAACCTGCGTTAATGATAGATTTGACATGTTCATGAGTAATATTGGTTTGAGCAAAATATCTTCCTCCCAGTGAAAGAGGGCTTTGCGTCGCCCCCCCCCCCTAGCTCAGTAGGTCCTTCGATAGGGACAGTGTGATCTTTGGCTTCAGGGAACGCGCCCTATACTAGTCTGCTACGCCACGAAGAGGCAGATCACGTGTACACCACTCGAGAAAAGTGGTGCCGGTTTCCCCCAGCAAAAGCCGACCGAGGGCTACCGAGAAGAAATGCGAACACTAAAAAGTAAGATTTGGCTTATGATCAGGAGCGGCCAATTTTCAAAACAATACGACACTCATAATCGAATTCTGTAAGCCTGTAACAAGATTAACCTGAACGATATAGATCATTATGTATCTAGCAACGTGATATTTTATTGGTTCCATTGGTTGTAATTGATGAAAGGCGCAAATTTCGAATACTTTTAAAAATGTTATAAAAAATAAAAATTTAGTTGTTTTTTTTATTTAAAAGTTATATTTTCCTACCCATTTTACCCCCCGTGGGGGGGGGGCACTTGAATTGCTCCGAAAGGCAGTGCCCCCCCCCCTCTTTCCTTAGGAATTATGCATGAAAGAAACCCTGAGTGGGAGGTAATCATAAGCAAAAAGCTGTCTCCAAAGCCAAGTAATGCAAGTCGCAATTCAGTTCTGAAAATCACTCATTGAGCGTTAAAAAGGGAGGCTTTAAGCGTCGCCTGACTTCATTGACCCTAGAAGAAAGCCTTCTGTAGCGTTGGCTCCTGATAAGGACAAGTTAACAGAGACTCTCAACGTCCAAAGAAGAGCAGAAGGGATGCAGTTGGTGAGACCAGGGCTACGACTGTCCACCAGCGGATGTTGGCTCGAACTCGCCACCCCACAAAAGTCAGACTTTCAAGTTTTGCCTAATAGGCTACGTTTGTGTGCTAAAACTCAAAACACACATCATAACACGTCGTACATGATCTCCGAGTTGGTGAGTTGTTTACTTTTGTGGCGAAAAAATGGGACAGGTAAACCTTGCAAAACTGGATCCCCACGTGACCAGGTCTGTGTAAGTAGATTCGTGCAGGCTCATTTCAAAATGAAAGTTGGCAAACCACCCAGTTACATGTAAGATGGAAAAAACCAATCATTTCCTTTGAACAAATAACAAGTAGCGAGTACAGCTCTTTGCAGCACTTCGGCTTTCGACGCACTTTCTGTGCGAAACTTACACGCCACCGTGAGCATCAATCAACCTCGGCGACTCCTGTAGGCTGACTGCATGAGAAACATTTTGCTATTTAACTACCTTCTGCCTCAACATGTTTCAAGCGACGATCCTCTTATAAATTTAATGAAGTTCAAGGCTCGAAGCATTCACGTTTTAAATAGTTCAACTTCTAAATAAATCACTGCGGGCAATGGCGACCGTTGATGGAACTATTTTATCGAGTTCATTTCCGATGTCAACAATTTCCACAAAATTACCTCCTCTTTTGTAGTATTGCCTGAAATCAATGGTGGGTGACAAAGCACAACGGCAAGTCTTAGTTCACCGCTATACAAAATCTCAACAGCCAATTGTTAAATAAATGGTTGAGTCACTCATTCATGTCAGGAGAGGAAATACACGACACGCGCTCTAATGCCTGGGGGCGTGAAAATATTCCCCCCCCCCCCCCCCCCCANTGCACACATAATGATGACTAGGAATAGAGCATGATTATTGTGGATCAAGTTCTGCTAATTGCTAAGATTGCGAAAACTGTGCTGTGAGAAGATTACCAAGATCGACCATCATCATAATTTTGTGTGTGTTATTGTCCCCTTTTGATTATCAGTATTTATTTATTTTTTCTTGATGTAATTATTTTATCCCTCCCCCCCCCCCACACACACACTCCAATGGGGAGATTGGGGTACAATCTTTAAAATTTCATTATATAAATTACAGTATTGCTTTTCAATATTAATATTTTATTTACTGTTTCATTAAAATAATTAAAAAATAATTTAATGTTAGGCAATTTTCCTAAATTTTTACTGTTGTTTCTTTTTTTTTTTTTAAATACAGACAATGGAACAGCTCCACCCCACCCCCTCTTCTAATCCACTGATTTATACATTAAAATATTGGCATTAGTGAAAGCGTTCTGTTCATAATGTTGGAGTGTGCATCGGTGTCATTAGAGTGTTTCCTAACAGGGAATTCCCTTTTAAAGCTATAGGTGCCATGACTACGTCATGCTGTTGCATCCTGTTTAAATAACACTCGTGTGTCCGTATTGTAGTTTGTGAGCAGTTGAAATGGACAACTTTGAATCTAAAGAGTCGAAGGCAGGCAGAATACAAAAAAAAAGTTTGTGGGCAGAAAATCGCCAAGACCTAATCAAGTTTTGACATTTGACAGGTCTTCCCTAGTGACCATAATAACACTGGTAACTCAAGTACACAGTGTTTGTCATTATACAATCATTGGGACGATGCTCCATTTTGCTATGCAGTCAAGCGATTCGTCAGATAATATTATCATTTGATTTTATTCTCGTATTTTTCATATTTGAACATGGAAATGTTGGCGCAAGTGGTCAAAGAAAATGAGACTCCTTAGTAGATTCTAAATAACGCAGAATATGACAAGCTCCGACTAAGTCCTACAATGGCGTTTTACAAATAAGTGAATTGGTCCCAGATCGGAATTTTAATCTTTGAATAGTTGAAAACATTTGCTCAAGTGATATTAAGTATAAACCAAAGTGATTTAATATGTTGATTAAACTAATTTGATTTTACCAAACTTTAAAAACACAATTAATTTTTTTTTAAAATCACCTGAAGTTGCAGTATGGCACAGAACAATCCCATAAATAACAACACGACCCTAGTCATAGTTTCAATCACTGAACAGACTGCAAGGGCGGCTAACCTCGATCTGTTCATCTTCGGCGTTCGAGTTGTCTTGACGCAATGCTTCTGTGCCGTTGGCGTCATCACCAACCTTCTCAGCATCGCGGTCTTCCTCCGTCAAGGAGTGAGAGACACAGTCAACATTAGTCTACTCGGACTGTCCATTTCTGACCTGTTTTCTCTCATCACAGTGGCGTGGCTCAATATTAGCCAAACGCCCCTGTTCGCATCCCAAAAACTTCCTTTTATCCCCCTGGAAGTGGCGTATCTGACGGGAGGATGGCCCCATGTCTTCTTCACTCGCATCACGACATGGATCACCGTTTACATCACACTGGAGAAGTGCTGCTGTATCGTGGCACCCATGAAGGTGAAGGCCGTGTTCACACCGAGACGCACAGTGATCTACAACATACTTGTGTACGTGGTCATCTTAGCCAGTATTGCTCCCATTTACTACACTGCTCGGCTTTCTGAAAAGTTTGTCCCTGAAAGAAACGAAACGCTTTTAGGAATCATATTTATTAGTGGCAGAGATGACATCGAGGCCGTCTCATTTCACATCAACAACATTCTTCCTCTCACAGGATTCGCAGTTATAATCATTGGGACCGCCATCTTAGCATCGCGACTCAAACAGATTTCAAAATGGCGCCTGACAGCCGCGTCGAATGCGAGGTCAGACGAGATGCAAAACAGAGACACAAAAATTGTCAAAATGGTGGTGTTTATTTCTGCTAATTTTATCGTCTGCTATCTGCCTGGGACTGTTGTGTTTATTTGGATGATGTTGGACCCAGGTCTACGAATCGACGGGCGTCACTCTGATCTTTTTCAGGCCGCCTTCGCCACATTGTTTCTGCTGGAGGCTCTCAACGCCTCAGTCAATATTTTTGTGTATGTGGGGATGAGTTCAAAGTTCAGGAAAACCCTTGTTTCAATGACGTGCTTTCAAAATAATGGTGCAAACGATTTAAAATATAAAAGCTCAATTCATAAGAATGTGGACAATATTTGTGTAGCTAACACACTGAGCTAAGTTTGGCAAAGACAAGGAAAGCTCAGCTCATAAGAATGTGGACAATAGTTGTGTAGCTAACACACTGAGCTAAGTTTGGCAAAGACAAGGAAAGCTCAGCTCATAAGAATGTGGACAATAGTTGTGTAGCTAACACACTGCATTAACGGTGGCAAAGACAGACACACAAAAAAACATTTTTACTTTAAGCATATTTGACACCAGTTGTCTCCTTCAAACCTGTTATATGACTGATGGGATACCCCCCCCCCCCCTTAACCACAAAAATTATAAAAAAAAAAAAACTGCCTCAGGTACGCCTATAATTTACTTCCTTTTTTTACCATTACATCTAGTGTAGGGTTCGGGAAACCGGGGTAAATTAGTATGATATGAGAGAATGGAAATGTTGCGGTAATGCGCTGTAGGGCTGCATGAAAGTAAAATAAAATTATATTAAAAGCACATTCCACATTCCTTTTTAGGAAAGAAGTTTCTTCTGGAAACACTGTATCTGGTCAGTGTAACGGGGCAACACTGTATCTGGTCAATGTAACGGGGCAACACTGTATCTGGTCAGTGTAACGGGGCAACACTGTATCTGGTAAGTGTAACGGGGCAAAACTGTATCTGGTATGTGCAATGGGGCAACACTGTATCTGGTCAGTGCAACGGGGAAACACTGTATCTGGTCAGTGCAACGGGGCAACACTGTATCTGGTCAGGGTAGCGAGGCAACACTGTATCTGGTCAGTATAATGGGGCAACACTGTATTTGGCCAGTGCAACGGGGCAACACTGTATCTGGTCAGTGCAATTGAGCAACACGGTATCTGGTCACTGCAACGGGGCAACACTGTATCTGGTCAGTGTAACGGGGCAACACTGTATCTTGTCAGTGTAACGGGGCACCACTGCATCTGGTCAGTGTAACGGGGCAACACTGTATCTTGTCAGTGTAATGGGAGAACACTGTATCTGGTCAGTGCAACGGGGCAACACTGTATCTGGTCAGTGCAACGGGGCAACACTGTATCTGGTCAGTGCACCGAGGCCACACTGTATCTGGTCAGTGTAACGGGGCAACACTGTATCTTGTCAGTGTAATGGGGCAACACTGTATCTGGTCAGTGCAACGGGGCAACACTGTATCTGGTCAGTGCAATGGGGCAACACTGTATCTGATCAGTGCAACGGGGCCACACTGTATCTGGTCAGTGCAACGGGGCAACACTGTATCTGGTCAGTGCAATGGGGCAACACTGTATCTGGTCAGTGTAACGGGGCAACACTGTATCTGGTCAGTG